TTATAAAAATGATCAAACAATCAAAGTATTCAGCAAAAACAATGGGACAGTCAGATCAGATCTTTCCAGACAGACGATGTTTGCATGATCCTATCAACATTCCTTTAACCTCTGTCGCTCATTGGAAGTCTTGGATTTAAAAATGTTGGCAGCCTTTTGAAAATCTGTGAGTTCAGTTCTACATTCTCCCGAAACCACACATGATAATGGGTGTTTTGATAATGCTAATCATGCTAGCTGTGATAATTATTGTTTTATAAGATGCTGAAGACAGTTTAAAATTGTCAATTCTCTGAGTCGGCAAAAGGTTCAGGTCAAAGCTTTATAAAACATGGATATTGGAAAATGGAACTTCCAATTCTAATATACTCATCCTTGGGTTCAGCCAAAGTATTAATGTTTCTTGATCTCTTGGAAACTGAAGTGAATCTGAAGGGGTTTCTTGAATAAAAGTACTCTGTGTCTGTGCTTTTTTTCCGCTCCTTGCAGGTACTGTTGCACCCTTTGATAGAGCATTGTGCATAACTAGTGGTAACATTTTGGAAATGGGAGACTTTATCTTTGGCCGGTTGCAAGTATCTAAACTAATATCACTATGAACGACAGTGATATTTTAGCTAAAAGCAAATGTACACTTGCAAGATAGAGGAGTACGGTAACACACTAGTTCAAAAGAAGAAGGTCAATAGACGCTGCTTTTATTTTTACCACCTTTCAACCAAGCTCGTGATATTAGATGCCCTCTTCTTTTTCCTCTCTCTTTCTCTCTGTCTGTAATTCCACTTTCATTTGTCTCGGCATCATGTGTAAATGAATGTGTGTGTTTCCCTTCTTGCCCTCCAAACAAAGTTCAATCCTACTACGAGAGAGCAGAGGCCCAGATCAAATAAAGCCAAGCAAAGCTATTACAAGAAAACAGAGAAGGGAAACTCCACGCTCTCCCACACTGAGACTATTTACCCCAATTGTTTTAACCCCTCGAAGCAGCAATGTGCCCCAAATGTAACTAGACCTTCTGAAGAAGTAATAGAATGTATTAAGTACAAGACTTTAAGTTAATTATTTGGTGATATATGTTGTATAACCAATGCTTTTTAAAATACTCCCAGCCATAAACTTGCTAAATCACAAATTTAACTGGTTTCGTTTTAATCAATGACTCAAGTACTCGTGATGTCAAGAAAAACTGGAATAATGAACATTTATCTATGAACTAAACAACCCAGGATTGGTGAATACGTGAAGGCGTCAGAGATGCTTTTTTAGCAGAAAGCAGCCCTCAGTTAATTAGTAATTTGACATCTTTGGCATCACAGTGAGCCACCACTGCAGGCTACATTGAAACGGATGAGAGGATATTTCAGTAACAAATGAAAGAAAAAAAAATATATCCCTGAAAATTAATTGAATTTGTAAAGCACTGTCAGGATTTCCCTGCAAGGTTTAGTCTTCCTCTTGGCATAAAAATTATCTCTTGCATCCTAATCACTGATAAATAAATCAAAGCCATGCAGGGGTTTTTTTTTTTTTTTTTTTTTTTTTGCAAACAAGCTGTCAGGAAGTAATTTTAACATCTGAATTTAAATTTACAGCCAGTGAAGGTTAAAAGTGTCACTGGGATGCTTTCAGTAAACAGTGTGCATATCTTTATGTTTGATCTGAGCTGTGCAGTCACATCTAAGTAGACTGGGGAGACAGACACAACCTGGAATTAACAACAAGAAGAGGTGACACACATTTTTATTTTTTTTTAAATATATATAAATGATTTAACCTGTTGTCAAGGTCTATAATTTGTATAGAAATAAACAAATGCTGTTTATTTTTCAGTGTTTGTGAATTAACAGTTGCTTTAATTTCATGCTTGATCTTTATTTTTCTTGGCACAACTGGAATAAAATTAGGCATTTGTTCAATACACCCTCAAAAAAAACTTTTTTTTTATTATTTATTTAATATCAAAGTAGAAAATACATGGTGCGATAAATTACATTAATGAAAAGGGGGAGGGGAAACCACGGAAATAAAGAAAGAAAGAATGTATTGTGTTTTGAAGAAAAAAAAAACTTAAATTTTGTTTGAATCATAGTAACGCCATTTGTTCATGATAATATTTTTTGCATAAATAAATCTTTAAAAGAGATTGTAATAAACACTGCCTTCTTAGTCCGCCCATTAGTGTATATAAAACGAACAGGTACTAAATTAAAGGGGAAATATTAAGTCTTGTAAAATGTTAGGCAAGCACATTTTAATGAGTCCTTGTTGGATCGTAGCAGTTTCTTAGGCACTAACAAGGGACTAGCATTCCTTTTTTTCCCCAAAAATATATTCCCTTCTTTGTCGGTTTAGGTTGCTCTCAAAGATGTGTGTTGAAATTATCCTGAAGCTTGTCAAGTGCAGGTTAAGTCGAAAATTATTTCCTAAAAGTTGTATGCCAATAAATGTGACCAGTGTTGGTGGATTGGGGCGTTTTCCTTCTGAAAAACACAACAGACATCAGAACATAAAACTGCTCTAGGGTACAAAAGCACAACTCGAGAAACCTCATCTCCTACATTTGCAAAGATATTTTTGAGTAGTTCTGGTTGGATTTTTCTGTTACTTTGCAGCAGATTGCTCACTGCAAGGTGCGTGTTTTTGAGCATAGTGTGAGCAGCATGTCTGAAGTGGCAGCAGCTCCACTGCTCCATCTGTGTCTACACAGGCGGTGTTCAGATTTGCTATCAAACTGGACGGTACCTGCATTTTAAAAGCACAAAAAAAATACTCCTTTCATGCTGTATAATTTCTTAGCAGGCAAATCATACTGATCAACAAATAAAATAGCAATTCCTTTCAATAGATTTAAGCTTCAGATTACAGTTCTGGCTCGATGTTTTCGGCTTGATGTCGACTCTGATGTCCCGCCCAAGTGTCACTGTCTGAGCTTCTGACTGTCATCCCTGCATCAGCTCATTTCTGATGGGTTTTCGGCTTAGAGAAAAGCGACCGTCAACTGAATAAAAAGCCAGCAAAAAGAATAAATCATCAGGGAGAAAAATGTCTAATTTGCACCCAACAGAGATAACTGCTGAAGAAAGAGTGTGAGGGGTAAGTATCGCTGAGGCTCACCTTACAAAATTTTTGCTTTATCTTCACCTTCGTCTTATCGGCATCTAACATTTCCGCTTATGCTCTCTGTATGCAGATTTGTCCTATTACTTCTCATCTCCTTTTTTGCATTTCTGCAAATATTTTAATAAATTAATTAGTCTGTACTTCAAAACATATTTGTAGAATTATGAAGCAAGTCCCCCGGCACGCCAAAGTGGCTTGCAGCTAAAATTAGTGATGCTGTTGGGGAGCATCCTTATAAACAAAAAAAGGCATAAAATTGAATATTTGGTTGTTAAAGTTGAACATATGAATATATATATTCGACTTATATCAATAGGTTGAAATAAATAACGCGTACACATATGTTACTGTCACGAACAGTGTTTTGCATGAATGCTCTCAGAAGTGGGGCTCCCTTTTAGCATATACTTTTAACCCTGCTTTTTTGGAAGTCAAACTTAGACTGAGCAGAGTTCTTCTTGGACACAATGGACACGGATATGTCCTGACATGTGAAAAATATTAGGTGCATCAATGTAGAAGAGACAGACATTTCCCTGTGAAGACCGCAGTGTGTGACCGCTGTGTGTGTGCGCACGGATTTAGGCAGTTGCACCCACATATCAATCTTTATTAACATTATAATTTATAAGTCATACAGAGTTTTTACTCCAACTATCAAAAAGGTAAGCATAACCATGTTTTCTTTTCATGTTTTAACATGGATGTGACGAGGACAAACACTTGCATGTACTTGTGCATTGTGTGTGCCAGTTTTGAGAGAATTAATTTAATTAGTTAATTAATTAAATTACTCCACTGTAAGGGACTGAAATGGGGATAAATTCTAGGACCTTAACCATTGAACTTATTCATCTCCTCCATAAAAACAGCAAGGCAATGAGAGGATAGAAAAAGTAGAGATTGCTTTACTGACTTTCCACACTAAGTAACCCCTTTTATTGAATCTGTTAGCATAAAAGAGTGTGTGCCTCAATATCCAACAGGTGAAAAAAGGGCAAAGAACTGAGAAGAGAGTTTGCAATAGGTACAGCAAAGATGACACAAACATTAGGAAAACAGAAGGGAGTTACATAAACCATTAAACAGTAGCAAACAGAGAATTTGGTTAAAGATAAGCATTCAAACATCTTTTTATAGATATTTCCAGTCAGACAGCGATTGTCCAAATTAAGGCAAGACAGAAAATGTTGCACATTTGCCTTTGTAGCCATGTGTCCCGTCTAAATTTAGCCTAAACATTTCAACTTATAAACAGTGTTTCATCCACATTTAAGCACCGATCAACTTCTTTATGTAGACAGTGTTTCACCTTTCACTTTTTAACCACATTAGGGTAAAAGGCAAGCTCATCTGTTTCTCAGTCTTAAAAACTATTCTGCACAGAAATTAAGCCAAGAAATATAGTTCTCATAATAATGAACATAGGGAATATAAACTTCATTTTCCTGCCAATAGGGATAACACTCATTTAAAACAATCCATAGTCGCCTTTCAATGACTACAAAAAAACACTTAAAGGCACTTAGTCGGCCACAAACTGAAACTACTGCTTTTACTCCTTCTTATTCGAATCAATCAAAAGAAAATTCAAAGCCAAAGGCTTCTGGTTACCATAGCTACAAAATGGCCTGGCAGAAAAGTATTGCACTCCCCTGCCCACTTAAGATCAATCCCTTGACAGCTTCTGCATAACTGACAGGTTTATTACCCGGCTAACTTCCCAACATCAGCACGTCTTCCTAAAGAGGGCCATATGTCAGAGATCACTCTCAAGCAACAAATGACAAAACTGTTACTCACAAAACACGCAACAGAAAAACACAGCAGCTAATAATTTGACAAATCTATTTGCAAGAAGCGCCTCACTTGACTCTTACCTGAGCAGAGGAGTCAGAGCTACGTGGGCGGAGAAGGTGGAGCGTCCTGCTCAGCTGGGAGCCGACAACCGTCCAGAGCTTTACGTTGACTGACGCGAGGACCGAGTCTTTCCAGGAGTGGAGGAGAAGCGTCTCAGGTGTCTCGATGTCCTTTCAGTTTCATCTGTCCGCAGCCACAGCCAACATTCCCTGCAGAAAAAAAAAAAAACAAACATCAGCGCATCTTTCAACTTTATTGTCCCAGTTTACCAAATGTTTGCAAAATCTACTAATGTGTTACAAGAAAGTATCCTTATGATTAAAATGTTTTCACATTTTGTGTTGTTACTTCAGTGTAACACACAGGGATTGTATGTGACAGATCGAGAATCTGTTTCAAATGTAACAAAAAAGAAAAAAATGTTTAGTTTAGGATGTTTAAATGTTTTAGCAAGACAGAGTGTTTCACTGTGCTGCAGAGTTTTGTACCTTTTATACCTTTATTTGCATCCAATTATCAGTTTAACCTTCAAACAAATGCGCACAAAATTCTCCTCAAAACAACCTCAAACTTTATAATTGCATAATATCACAAAGCTAAATGAGCTAAGGTGAAAAAGTTTGTCATGACCATTAAATAAGTATAATAATGGAAACAAATCTGCATATTCATTTCTAAAACTTATCCCACGCTTTGTTCTTTCAATCTTTTTAGAAGCTCCTGACCTTTGTAAAAATCTGTTTGCCGTGTCCTACACTATCTCTGTCACTGGTACTCCATTTTTCTGTTGCTCTCTTGCCCTCTCTGAGGAGTATTCAGAACAACATCCAAGCTATTTATACACTGACGCCCGATCAGCATGGCAACCAGGCTTTGTTTACCCACATGAGACACCGGTTTGAGGCTTGTGTCCTCCTTTTATCCCCCAAAAACATAGCTATTAAGGTTCATTTGGGCATGTTTCATGAGCATGGCTCACTTTAACTAAACATCTTTAATTTCCCAGCAGATCTTGGTGTTTCTGTGGAAATAAGTGAGCACATTTGCAAAATTCCTCACTATGTTGCAAAAAGGTGGAGGGAGGCTATTTGACTCAATCAGAAGAGTTCATCTCCAGTTCTCGAGGAACTATTTACTCTACGTTGTATATAAGTACCTGCATCAAATAAATAAGTTACCTCTTCAGCCTGTGATCAAGCTCTGCAGAGGCCAAGAATTGAAAAGTTTAAATTAAACATGAGAAACCAGGGAAACATCTAAAACATACAGGAGAGCAGCCCTTCAACGCTGGACTACATGCAAATTTGGTTACATGTTTACAATGTCCTCTCAAAGCAGAAAAATCAGAATTTTCCCTCTTTTTCATAAGAAAACAGCCATCCAAAGACTGATTGACGACAGACAGAAGACAAATGACACTTTAATTACATGCTGTACCTCTGGACTAAAGGTGTCAAGATGAAGTCCAACACTGATGCCTCTTCAACTGTTGCACAGGCAATTTTTTTCAAACAGTTCAATGAACACAATCTTCGACACGTATTAATCACGCCGTCATATTCCCCCTGCTGATGCCGGGCCTGCCTGCCTCCTATTGTGCTGAGAACTCAATCTCCAAAACCTAAGAAGCAGATGCACAGAAACTGCACGCAAAATGATGTGATGGCATGTATTACCCATTGTGTGAGTTTAACTCTACATCCTGCATGCAAAGTGTGTAATGTTATGCATGTGTACAGATAAAAGGAAAAGGATAAGAAGTTGGCGCATCTAAGCAAACTCATCTCCGTTCACATAGTACAGCTGAACATTGAATACTCAAATCATGAAAGCAGTGCACTTCAAACTCATTCCCCTTTTTTTTTTTTTTTTTTTACTACAGATTTGCATTTACTCTCACACATCAATCCACAATGTCCTACATTAATGGTGACTGAGAATTCAACTGCCAACTCCCACTCTAAACTACAGAGTAAATATCCATTTCAAGCAACACAATACAAAAGCAAAACGATTTCAGCTGTTTCTTCTTTGAACAATCCTCCTCTTTTTTCCAAAAAGTCTAAATTTGGATTGGTTGTTCCGTTCAGTGACAAGATTAGCTAACACATTGTTGCTTACTACCAATGTAAGCATTATCAATTACTGTGATTCCACCAAATCCATAACATTTGATTCTTATTTTTTTATGCTTTTATGTTTTTTCTTACACAAAAACATGGAATAAAACCTGTTCAATTTCATAGTAGTTTTCAAGTAAAACATGCGTATTGCACAGAAAAGTTGAGGTTTTTGCTATTCTGTTCTTAGAGTAACACTGAAGGTACAGCAAGTTGATATTAGCTGATATGTCAGTCTGCTTGGGTAGAGCACGGCTCTGTACTGTTGACGCTCCAAGTGTAGTTTCAAAAGTACATTACATGAAAACAGTGTGGGTTTGCACTTCCACAAAATTATGACTTGCATGAGCTTGCACCTATCAAACGTCTATAATTGTTTTTCTTGCAAGCAGGGTGAAGGTGTTGGAGCCTCCTTTCAGCCAGCTGACCAGAAGGGTGTATCAACAGGTGGTTGGATTGGCAGCAATGAGCAATTCTATCAATTATACAGTCAAAGAAAACTCTGGTTGCCCTGGCACTCTGCTCAATAAAAGCACTTCAAAAACATGTAAGTGAAAGTAAGATGGAACGTCTGAGCCCAAACGGGTCGCACCACAAGTTGAAGCAAACTTTTACAAACAAGTTTGGGCCTTCACATAAAAACTTGGAAGGCCCATGGCCTTGTAGTTTGTTGAGTCATGCATGCAAAGACACAAAAAAAAACAAATTCACAACAGAGGAATTTCAAACAAAAAACTGGAACTTGCAAGTCGTGTGTAGTAAAAATCCAGCTTCGTGACACTAACAACAGAAACCTGCGTGACCTTTGGAAAGAGAGCCTGATTGCTTACCTGCTTTAATCCTGCCACTAATCTCTTGTTGAATTCGGGTTAATTCATTTAGCATATGTATGTTCAGAAATTTTGCAGACACTTTAAATATATTCATACACTTTTATAGTAACCTGCTGGGTCATGTTAACAACCGTCTCCTCTGTTCCACTTTGGCTTACTGCTGCACAATATTACACTGAGAGTGCAGACAGAGATTCTCCATGAGGGTCAGATTTCAGCACCACGCTGGCACAACACAGCACGCTATTTTCAGATTTGTTTGAGTGAAGTTTTTGGGTAATTCTGAGTGACAGCAAGAGTAGCAGCAATATAACCTGGTTTGCACTGTGTTTTCATTGGCCTGGCAGGCTGTTTTATAGAGATTAATTGGTGTAGTGCCATAGAAACTATGAAATAACTCAACGATATTAAGTGTAAAGCATTTGCAAAACACACCAATAAAAGGCTCCCCATTTGCTGTTTATGTGAAAGATGTTTTGTAAATATTATCCATCTCAGAATTTTACTTGGAGAAAGACAAAAAAAAGCAGTAAAAACTAAAAATCCCTTTACATCAATATGTTATAACTGTGTGATTTTTTCCCCCCTTTTTTTATGGCTCAGTGTGATGATATCCTCCGTTAACCTGTATCTTGTCAGAAATCAATATCCATCCTGGCTGGAGTTGAGGGGTCAAATCAATACAGAGCAGAGCTTTCACCTGGTTTAACCCTGTCAGTCTGCTTCAGGGAAAACATTGGCCTAAATATTGTGAAAAGACAGCTTCCACTTACTGGGCTCAGACTCGGTTCCCTGTCATTGTGTGATGAACTCAATACTCCTGACAGCCTGCTCTCTGTATATCTGAACACAGCCCCTTTTGGCCCGCCATATTATTGCTTTCCAGCCTGTTGTCCCTCCTCTGTCTCACACAGGAACGGACACACCTGCATGAACCCACCTGCGCATACGCATTCAGAGACGCTGACAGGCAAAGCTGTGAAATACGAAAAAAAAACAAAAAACAGAACCATGGGTGAAACTGTCATGTTTGTGTTCTTGTCTAGGTGTTCTTGTAAGGTTATGTTTGAGAAGACCAATTTAAACTTTTAACCCTAGAAGTGGAAGTATTGTATGGACATTAAGGACATTTGTGATGCTTGTTATTTTTAGAGAGATGTTGCAACAACTACAGACAAGAAGCTTTTAAGCAGCAGCTTAAACTTGGGCCAGAAGAGAGTTGGAATAATATTGAGATACAGGTTATGGACAAGAAATGAAGGTATGAGAACTTGTCGTTTTAAAATGTATTCGTTCCATCACAGAACAATAAATGTTGAGGCTTTTCAGACAAAAAAAAACAAACAGAATATCTAAAAGCCAAAATGTCCGTGCATTTAAGCTGAAAACTAAAATTTTTTTTGCGTGCAAACACATCAAAGGTCAACATGCTGTAAAATGTGCTAATTGTTTTGAGTTCAGTACAAATCATATAATAAAGACAATATTTTAATCCATTCATTCTCAGTAGGATGAAAAAAATATCACCGAACCACTACAGCACATTTTCTCTTTTATGCTTTCCTGTTTGTTGCCTTAAACTGTTAAACTCTAAAGAATAAAAGTTTGCACAAATGAGTTCACACTGTATGTGTTAAAAGTACAGAAAGGTTTTTAAAAACGTGATTAGGAAAGTCAAACCTAAAATGTAACTGAAAATACGTATTAAATAGAAAAGTCAGACTGACTCATTTCAATATTTTTAACCTTACAGATGCAAAAATCAAACATAATTGTAACTGCCACGTAAAATGTATTGTATCAACATCAATTCAAAAGAATGCTTAAAGAGCAACTATTAGTTGAATGTGATATTCTACAGTTGACCAATGAGTACAACCCTTAGAAACAAAGAGTTAATGTGATAGTGAAAGTGATGCTAAGGAGCAATATTATTGTTTATCATATGTTGACTGTGATAACCCCGCATTTTGCATTACTTCCTTTTCAAATACAAAATGCCCTCAACTGTGACAAATTTCAGCGTTCTAGTCACTAAAATTAAATTTCATCAAACACTGGTATTGTAGCGGTTCAATATAATTTGCAACTCTAGCTGTGATCATTATGAGAGAAGGAAGATGAGATCGGAAAGTGTGGTTTTAAATTAAATTGTAATCACAGTATCTGACAATGTTATTTTGTGGGGTTTTTGTCTTTCTAAAATCATCCAGCCCTACATGTAACTGATTTTATCAAGCTGTTCTAACA